GATTGGACATAATTACATTTGAAGTAGTTACTGGGATGAGGGTGCTATCTTATGAGCAAAGGTTAGACAGGCTTGCCTGCGATCTTTGGAGTTCAGAAGAATGAGAGGTGATCTTATTGAAGTACATACGTTCTTGAGGAGACTTGACAGACCAAAAGCTGACTGGTCATTTCCCCTTGTGGGAGAGACCAGAACAAAAGCATTTGGCAAGGCACCTCACAAAAGGTAAAGTCATTAGAGGCCATGGTGTTGGAGGTAGTATATTGGCACAGATAGAGAATTGGCTAATAGGCAGGAAATAGCAAGTGGAGATAAGGGGATCTTTTTCAGATTGGCAACCTATAACCAGGTGGGTTCTACAGGGACCACAACTGTTTACAATATACGTTAATGACTTAGAAGAAAGAAGTGAATATGCTGTAGCAAAATTCGAAGACATCACAAAAGTAAGTGGAATAGCAAGTTGCAAAAGGGATAGAAACAGTTTACAGAAAGATATTGGGAACAAAAACAGAAGTTGCGGGAAAAGCTCAGCAGGTCTGGCAGCATCTGTGAAGAAAAATCAGAGTTAACGTTTTGGGTCTGATGACCCTTCCACAGAATAGAGATATTGATAGGTTAAGTAAGTGGGCAAAAAGTTGGCAAATGGAGCATAATGTGGGAAAATGTGAAGTTATTCATTTTGGAAAGGAGAACAAAAGAACAGTATTACTTAACTGGAGAAAAAGTGCAGAAAGTTGCAACACAGCAGGGCTTGGGGATATTTATGAATGAAACACAGAAAACTAGCACCCAGGTGCAGCAGGTTATCAGAAAGAACAGAAACCACACATGATCTGAGCCACAAGAAGTGATGGAATGTTGGCCCTTTTTTCAAAGGGATTGAAGTACAAGACTAGGGAAGTCTTGCTGCAAGTGTACAAGTTGCTGGTGAGACACATCTGGCGTATTGTGAGGAGTTTCAGTCCCTTCATTTAAGGAAAGCTATTTCATTGGAGGCAGGTCAGAGAAGACTATAAGATGATTCTTAGTCTGGAGCCTTATAAGCAAAATTTAAACAGGTTGGGACTGTACTCACTGGAGTTTAGAAAATGAGATATGATCTCATTGAAACATGTAGGATTTTTTAAGGAGTTGAGAGGGTAAATACTGAGAGATGTTTCCCCTCATGAGTGTGTCTAGGACCAGAGGCCACAGTCTCAGAATAAAGGAGTGCCAATTTAAAACTGAGATGAGGAATTTCTTCTGAGAATGGAGTCTTTGATCTTCCTTGTCACAGAGAGCTGTGGGGGCAGAGCTTGTTCGTGTATATTTAAGGCTGAGATAGATTCTTGATCAGCAGGGGAATCCAGCGTTACAGAGAAAAAGCAGGAGAATGGACATGAGGAATGTCGGATCAGTCATGATCCTATTGAATGGCAGAGCAGGCTCAAGCAGCTGAACTGCCTACTCCAGCTTCTATTTGTTAGGGTATTTAGGGGATGAAATTTAAAAATAAACAAACCATTTAAGTTGCAGAAGCAGAGAGGGACATTTTTTGATGGAATTCTCTTTTGAAAGATCATGGAGTATCTTTAAGGCTGAATTAGACAGATTTTTGAGATTGTAGACTTGCTCGCCGAGCCAGTGTGTTTGATTGCAGACATTTTGTCACCCTGCGAGGTAACATTGTCAACGTGCCTCCAGTGAAGCGTTGGTGTTCTATCCCGCTTGTTATTTATATGCTTCGGTTTGCTAGGGTGGTTATCACTTCCGTTTCTGTTTTTCAGTGGTTTGTATATTGGGTTCAGTTCGTGTTTGTTGATGGAGTTCTGGTTGGAATGCCAGGCCCACAGGAATTCCCTGACATGTCTCTGTTTGGCTTGTGCTATTATGGGTGTGTTGTCCCAGTCGAATTTGTGTCCTTGTTTGTCCATGAAACCAGTGAGAATTGGTCATGTCTCTTGGTGGCTAGTTGGTGTTCATGTATCCTTGTTGTCAGTTTACTTCCAGTTTGGCTTGTGTAATGTTCCTTACAGATCTTGCATGGTATTTTGTATATTACTTTAGTTTTATTGGTTGTGGGTATGGGATCCTTTACATTTATCAGTAGCTGTCACAGGGTGGTTGTCGGTTTGTGGGCTACCCTGATACTTAGGGGTCTGAGTAGTCTTGTGGTCATCTCTGATGTACGGATAAGGTGACTAGTGTGTCTGGCCGTGTTGTGGTCTGTCACGGAGGTAACGACGGATTGTGCTTTTTAGGTATCCATTCCTGTTTAAAAACTCCCTACAAGTACTCCTTGTTCTGCTTTGGGCAATTCCGGGTTGCTGCAGTGTGCTGTGACCCGTTTGAATAATGTCCCAATGCAGCTCCGTTTATGGGTGTTGGGGTGGTTGCTGGTGTGATTAAGTATCGTAGTCTTTCTGTATTCGCTTGTCTGGAGTTCCCCATTGTTCTTACGTTCTACCATTATGTCTAGGAAGAGTAGTCGGTTATTGTTCCCTTCTTCTTTTGTGAATTTTTGTTCTTTATCAAACACACAAGACTAGAAGAAACCACCGACGCATCCTCACTGGAACAAAATTCAGAGTTTTCAAAAGAAATGGATACCTAAAAAGCACAATCCGACGCTACCTCTGCAACAGAAAACAACAAGATGACACAACACGGCCAGACACACCAGTCACCCTACCGTACATCAGAGACATGTCGGAAGTGACCACAAGACTACTCAGACCCCTAGATATCAGGGTAGCCCACAAACCAACAACCACCCTTCAACAGCTACTGAGGAACCTAAAGGATCCCATACCCACAACCAATAAAACAAAGTGCTATATAAAGATACCATGCAAGGCTGTGAGAAACATCACACAGGCCGAACTGGAAGAAAACTGACAATAAGGATACACGAACACCAACTAGCCAGCAAGAGACACAACCAATTTTCACTGGTTTCAATACACATGGACAAAGGAGGACACAAATTCAACTGAGACAACACATCCATAATAGAACAAGCCAAACAGAAACTTGCCAGGGAATTCCTGGAGGCCTGGCATTCCGACCAGAGCTCCAAGAAGGAACACATTGAACTGGACCCAATATACAAACCACTGAAATACAGAACCGGAAGTAATGCCCACCACCCCAGCAAACTGAGGCATATAAATAACAAGCAGCACAGAACACCAATGCTTCACCGGAGGCGCACTGACGATGTTACCTAGCAGGGTGACGAAACATCTGCAATCAAACACACTGGCTTGGCGAGCAAGTCTACAACCTCATCCACAACCTGAGCTACAAATCTTCTCAAACACTTTAGATAGATTCTTGTATGACAAGAAAGTCAAAGGTTTCAGGAGATAAGACAGAAAAGTGGAATTAAGGCCACAATCGGATCAGCCATGATTCTGTCCAGTGGGTGAGCAGCCGACAGGCTAAGTGGCCTTCTCCTGCTCCTAATTTGCACAGTTATGCATGCATATAGGATAAACAGTCACAAAACTCATCAGTATCATTCAAAGATGAAGGAAAGAGAATAACATTTAAGGTAAAAGTGATGAGTGAGTGTCCAGTTTCCAGAGTCAGTCCAGTGATCAATGTGGTATATTACTGGGCCACACAGGGATAGAATGATCCTAGTTTTGCATCAAGTTAGTTGGTATTGCTAGCATTACTACAGGTGCCAAATAAAAAATCTTAAACCCTGTTGGCTAATAAAGAAACAGAATAATCCCAAACTTGATCGCTACAATGACCCATTGCTGGAAAGCACATGTCTGTGAGACCCCACGTAGTGTTCAACCTATTAATTCTCCTCAGGATCTTGTATTTTTCAGGTTTGAAGATCTTGACACTAGGCAACCTCAAATACTCTCTGTAGAGTCCCAACCCCAGGCTACCACCTAACTGCTGGCCATTGTGAGCAAGTGAACATTATTAAAAAAACACATTTTGCATATGCACAGTTAAAGTTAACTAAAATCCCAGTAACACCAGTGCCAGAGGCTAATTAAACAATACCTTTACTTGATGAGACGTACAAGAGTGAATAAAAAAGCAAAATTCCAAATAAGGCATTGTTTCTCACCTTAGTTTCCACATGATAAGATACATAATGTGCAGTACAACGTAGTGGGATCTTTCGAACTGGCCACGGTGCATCATAAGACAAGTATGTCGGTAACACACTGATTCGAAGGTCACCCTATGAAAAGGCAAGATTAGGAATGAGAAAATACAAATGGAAGAGTCGTTCAATACGTGCTTTCTAACAATAAACTTCTTTGCTTTCAATAATGGGTGAACAGTTACATGAATGTCTTTCACAAGCTTAAAGTAACAGAAAGCTCAGATGGCCCATTCCCCAATGGGTCAATCTGTGAATGGTCTCTGCTTGTTATTGGGTACTAACTTACATAACTCTAAGCTCATTTCCTGCCCTGTGGCTTTTTTTTTCCCTTTTATTCATTAACAGGATGAGGGCATCGCTGGCTAGGCAGCATTTATTGCTCATCCTAATTATCCAGTTCAGAGTCAACCATATTGCTGTGGGTCTGGAGTCACAAGTAGGCCAGACCAGGTAAGGATGGCAGTTTCCTTCCCTAAGGGACATTAGTGAACCAGATGGGTTTTTCCAACAATCGATTCATGATTATCATTAGATTCTTAATTCCAGATATTTTATTGAATTCAAATTCCACCATCTGCTGTGGCGGGATTCGAACCGGGTCCCCGGATTAACAGTCCAGCAATAATACCACTAGGCCATTGCCTCTCCCTAATCCCCAGATTAAGGACTGAGACACAGACGTAACCAAACATTTTCAAGACACTGCATACGTGTGGATATGAGACAGTACTGCACTAGGATCAGCTTAAAATCTCTCCATCATGAAATAGCCTGCAAGCACTCAATGTCCAATCTCTCAGATGAGGAACAGTCATTGATGAGGAATAGTCACTTATGAGGCACGTGAGATCATTAGAAAAACATCCTTTCTTCCCCCCAGGTCAGCACAGGAGAGGAGTGAAGGGTAAAGAGCATACAATAGGAGGCATTACTCAGAAATAGACCAAGTCAGATTTCTACCAAGTAATACTTTTCCTGAATGTTCTCTGGAAAAGTTTGACCCTAAAGGGTCCAGTTAATTCACTGCTGCTTGTTTTAATCGTCTGTTTGGACATGAGGGCACAGCTGGTACATGTTGGGAATACTGGATGACGCGAGAAATTGAGTCTCCGGTCGAGAAAAAGGAGGCATATTTCAGGTATAGACAACGAGGATTGAGTGACTCCCTTGAGGAATATAAGGACACAGGAGTATATTTAAGAGGGAAATTAGGAGGGCAAAAAGGGGACATGAGAGAGTTAAGGAGAATCCAAAGAGATTCCGTAAGTATACTAAGAGCAAAAGACTAACTAGGGAAAGAATAGACCCCTTGAAGATCAGCGTGGTCATCTGTATGTGACTCCACAGGAGATGGGTGAGATACTAAACGAATATTTCCAGTCAGTATTTACTACAGAGAAGCATATGGAAGCTAAGGAACTGGGAAGATAAATAGTAATGTCTTGAAAAGTTCTCATTAGAGAAGAGGTGGCACAGTGATACAGTGGTTAGCACTGCTGCCTCACAGCACGAGGGACCTGGGTTTGATACCACCCTTGGACAACCGTCTGTGTGGAGTTTGCACATTCTTCCTGTGTCTGCGTGGGTTTCCTCCCACAGTCCAAAGATGTGCAGGTTAGCTGGATTAGCCAGGGGAAATACAGGGATGGGTCGGTCTGGGTGGAATGCTCTTCAGAGGGTTGGTGTGTATGCGATGAGCCAAACGGTGTGCTTCCACACTGTAGAGATTTTATGATTCTAAGAGAACATGCTGGACGTCATAAAACGCACAAAGATAGATATATCCCCAGGTCCTGATCAGGTATTTCCCAAAACTTTGTGAGAAGCTAGAGAAGAGATTGGTGGGCCCCTTGCCGAGATATTTGTATCATTGACAGCCACGGGTGAGGTGCCAGAAGACTGGAGATAAATAATGGCACCGCATTAGCCAAAGAAAACCAGTAAACTGTAAGGAAAGGCCAAGTGAGCCTTAGGTCAGTGGTGGATAAATTGTTGGAGGGGATTTAAAGTTTTGGCAAAGATCTGTAGCTCGGGTTGTGGGTGAGGTTGTTGACTTGCTCATCAAGCTGCCTCATCAAGTTGCACGGTATTACAGGTAATGTATTGGCATGGATAGAGGATTGGTTGACCAGTAGAAAGCAAAGAGTAGGGGTAAATGGGTGTCTTTCTGGTTGGCAGTCAGTAGCTAGTGGTGTGCCTCAGGGATCAGTGTTGGGACCTCAATTGTTTACAATTTACATAGATGATTTGGAGTTGGGGACTAAGTGTGGTATGTCAAAATTTGCAGATGACACTAAGGTGAGTGGTACAGCAAAGTGTGCAGAAGACACTGAAAGTCTGCAGAGGCATATAGATAGTCTAAGTGAGTGGGCAAAGGTCTGGCAGATGGAATACAATGTTGATCAGTGTGAGGTCATCCATTTTGGTAGGAATAACAGCAAAATGGACTATGTTTTAAATGGTAAAAAATTGCAGCATGCTGCTGTGCAAAGGGACTTGGGTGTCCTTGTGCATGAATTGCTGAAAGTGGGATTGCAGGTGCAGCAGGTGATTAAAAAGACAAATGGAATTTTGTCTGCCATTGCTCGAGGGATGGAGTTTAAAAACAGGGAGGCTATGCTGCAGCTGTATAGGGTCCTGGTGAGGCCACACCTGGAGTACTGTGTGCAGTTTTGGTCTCCTTACTTGAGAAGAGATATACTAGCACTGGAGGGGGTGCAGAGGAGATTCACTCGGTTGATTCCAGAGTTGAGAGGTTGGATTATGAGAAGAGACTGAGTAGACTGGGATTATACTCATTGGAATTCAGAAGAATGAGGGGAGATCTTATAGAAACATATAAGATTATGAAGGGAATAGATAAAGTGGAGGCAGGGAGGTTGTTCCGCTAGCAGGTGAAACTAGGACTAGAGGGCATCGCCTCAAAATAAAGGGAAGCAGATGTAGGACTGAGGTCAGGAGGAACTTCTTCACCCAAAGGGTTGTGAATCTGTGGAATTCCCTGCCCAGTGAAGCGGTTGAAGCTACCTCGCTGAATGTTTTTAAGGCAAGGCTAGATAAATTTTTGAACAGTAAAGGAATTAAGGGTTATGGTGAGTGGGTGGGTAAGTGGAGCTGAGTCTCAAAGATCAGCCATGATCTTATTAAATGGCGGGGCAGGCTCGAGGGGCCAGATGGCCTACTCCTGCTCCTAGTTCTTATGTTCTCGTTCAGACGTTTCGTCACCATACTAGGTGACATCATCAGTGGAGCCTCTGATGAAGCGATGTTGGAGGGGATTCTAAGGGACAGGCATTTGGAAAGGCAAGGACTGATTAGGAATAGTCAACGTGGTTGTGTGTGTGCAAAGCTGTGTCTCACTAACTTGATTGAGTTTTTTTGAAGAAGTGACAAAGAAGATTGATGAAGACAGAGCAGCAGATGTCTATGTGGATTTTGCAAAGCGTTCAACAAGGTACCGCTTGGGGGAGTGGGCCAATTGGATACAAAATTGGCTTGAAGGTAGGAAACAGAGGGTTGTGGTAGAGGGTTGTATTTCAGACTGGAGGCCTGTGACCAGCTGAGTCCCAAAAGGATCGATGCTGGGTCCACTGCTTTTCTTCATTTATATAAATGATTTGGATATGAATGCAGGAGTTATGTTTGGTAAGTTTGCAGATGACACCAAAATTGGTGGTGTTGTTGACAGTGAAGATTATCTCAGAGTACAATGGGATCTTGATCAGATGGGCCAACGGGCCGAAGAGTGGCAGATGGAGTTTAATTTAGATAAATGTGAGGTGCCGCATATTGGTAAGGCAAATCAGGCCAGGACTTATACAGTTAATGATTGGGCCCTGGGGAGTGTTGCCGAACCCAGGGGTGCAGGTGCATAATTCCTTGAAAGTGGAATCATTGGTAGACAGGGTGAAGGCAGCGTTTGGCACGTTTGCCATTATTGGTCAGAACATTGAGTATAGGAGTTGGGATGCCCATGTTGCAGCTGCACAGGACTTTTGGAATACTGTGTGCAATTCTATAGGAAGGACGTTGTTAAACTTGAGGGTACAGAAAATATTTACAAGGATGTTGGCGTGACTGGAAAGCGTGAGCTACACAGAAAGGTTTATAAAATCATGATGGGCATGGATAAGGTAAAGAGCCTTTTTCAAGGGGGGTGGTCTAAAATTAGAGGGTATAGGTTTAAAGTGAGAGGGGAAAAATGTAAAAACGACCTGAGGGGAAACATTTCATGCAGAGGGTGATGCATGTATGGAATGAACTGCCAGAAAAAGTGAAAGAGGTGGGTACAATTACAACATCTAAAAGGCACCTGGATGGGTATACGAATAGGAAGGATTTACAGGGATATGGGCCAAATGGAACTAGGTCATATTGGGGTGTCTGGTCAGCCTGGGCAAGTTGGACCAAAGGGTCTGTTTCTGTGCTGTATGACTCTATGTTATGACACACTAACACATGGAACACACAGGACCTGAATCCAGACCTTTTTGGCTCAAATACTCACATTTATCTCAGAAAAATAATTACAAAGCAGACAAATAGAAAATTCATCAATTCCTTCCCTAACGACTTATTTACAGCACGTGACTGCAGCAGCTCGAGAAGACAGCTCACCAACACCTTCTCAAGAGAGGGGCAATAAACGCTGGCCAACAAATGACACCCACGTCTCGTGAGTGAATAAAAAAAAAAATTCAGCTAGTTTAAAAACAACCAGGTAGTACCTTTACCCCCAAAAACATTTGCGAGCTCTGATGTTTTGTGACTTAAATTATGTTCAAGTAAAAATTTCTAACTGGAATAAAATTAATGTTCCCTACCACCCCCCACCCCTTCCCTGCCCACTGCCCACCCCACACACAGTGACAATGTTCTCCCACATACCTGTTTGTTGAAGTACAGGAAGCCCTTTGGACAATTAACATTGTGGAAGGGTGCAAACGATTCGATTGGCCCATCAACTGTCATAGGGTGCAAGCGCAAAGCTCCTCGTGAAGTCATGAACAACCAATGAGGAGACGGGCCACAAATAAATACCTGGGACAGAGGAGAAGATGTTAACAATGCACTGAAACCGGTGCTATGGCGTCACTCAAAGGTGGGCACTTTCCATGAAAAAGCAGCCCAGCTGACTGGCACCGTATCCAACAGTAGTGTGGTAGAATTCTGCAAAATTCTACAAAATGCACAGTATCACTTCACCACGTCTCCTTCATCAGCAATGTCCAATCCTGCAACCTCTACCACAACGGTCGCAGGTGCAAGCGAACATCAGAACCTGTACGTTCCCCTCTAAGTCACATCACCTTGATTTGGAGCTACAATTGTCATTATTTCAGTGCAGCTGGATCAAGATCCTGGAACCACCTTCCTTAGAGGTCTGTGGGTGTAATGCAGGTGTTCAAGGTAGCAACCCCTCATATTCTCAAGGGCAATTATGAATAGTAAGTATTGGCTAGCAATGATCAAATGTCAAGAATGATTTTTTTTTAAGAAGTGGAGATTTCTCATTTGGCAATAGTGTGATGGGAGATTGAAGAACACAGGGTCACACAGGGTCAAAACAATAGAAACTTTTCAATTTTATTCCTGGTTCCTAGCCATCAGAAACCTGTAATGCTACGTAAGCCGGTTAGATAGCACCTGCTGAGAGAATGGAAGAATTAGCAGCTTATACCCTCCTGACAGAATCTGCCTGAACTGCTGAGTGTTGCCAGCATTTTTTGACTTTGTTTCTGATTTCCAAAATCAATACAATTTTGTTTTTGTTTCCATAGAAGATGCAGCAAACTCCCTATGGGTCCTGGGAATTTTGGAAATGTTTATTCCAACCCAGCTCATCATGTCCACTTCAGGGAAAAAAGACATTTGTCAAAACGCTTGACATCAAAATATGAATGAATGATTTGTATTTATATTATAACCTTTCATGAAATCAGGATATTCTAGAATTCCCTCCCTTATGGTATTTTGGGTTTACATTTGGCACGTGGACTGCAGCAGTTCAAGCAGTTTACCATTTGGGCAATGAATACTGGCCAGCCAATAATGTCCACATCCCATGAGTGAATTTATATAAAAAAAAATAGTTAATTTCCAAGGAGCAAAGTCCCAAAAACTGCAACTGCAAATTTATTAAGTGATGTTAGTTTAAGGACAGATATTGGTTGGGATACCAGGGAGAATTTCCTGCTCTTCTTCAAAATAGTGCCATGGAACCTTTTACACCAGGCGAACGTTCCAACTAAATAAAAACCAAAAGAACTGCGGATGCTGTTTAATCAGGAACAAAAACAAAGTTGCTGGAAAAGCTCAGCAGGTCTGGCAGCATCTGTGAAGGAGAAAAGAGAGTTAACGTTTCGGGTCCAGTGACCCTTCTGAGCTTTTCAGCAACTTTGTTTTTGAACCTTCCAACTGCCCTAGCTTCGACAATGCAGTGGGATCTGACCCAGACTATGCACACTCCTTTTGGAAAGATTAGAAAATTTGTATAATATAATGCACATGGTATTGTTAAAAGCAAGCTACAATAAAGATGCAGGACTCTAAGCTATTTATAGTTGCTCTTACCCCCGAGTATCCAGAAATATCTTCAAAATAGCGGAATCGAGCAACCCTCGCTTTCGGAATAACCTGTTCCTCTCCTGTGGCAGTCTCTGCCTTCTTGTCTTTCTTGGATTGTTTGACTTTCTTCTCTCTGAAGTTTATATTATGTGGTACCTGGAGAGGAAAAATAAAGAGAAACTACCTCAAGACATTGCCAATTACCAAGTGAGGCTGTCGTCAGAACAAGAGCAGCTTTATTATCTAGCAGGAAAACAAAAACAGAAAATGCTGGAAAAAGTCTACAAGTAACACAGCACATGGCATGGTGGCTGAGTGGTCTCACAACGTCAGGGACCCTCAGGCGACTGTCTGTCTGGAGTTTGCACATTCTCCTTGTGTCTGAATGGGTTTCCTCCAGGTGCTCCGGTTTCCTTCCACAGTCTGAAGATGTGCAGGTTCAATGGATTGGCTATGCTACAGGGCCCAATGTGACCAGGGACGTGCGGGCTGGGTGGATTAGCCATGGGAAATGCAGGGTTGCAGGGATAAGGTGGGAGATGTTCTTCAGAGGGGTTGATGTGGATACGATGGGTCAAATGGCCTGCTTCCATACTATAGGGATTCCATGATTCCATGACAGAAAGAGGGAATAGTTCAGGTCAACAAACCTTCCTCAGAATAGAGAACAGTGAGATCATCAACATAAATCAGAAGTCAGGTTCTTATTTTAAAGCATGCAGACAAGTAGATTCCAACAGATAACAAATATCATAATTTAAGCAGTGGAGGAAAACTGGATTAACCAGCAAAGGAGAAACGGTGCAAAAATGAATGGGGTGATTCAACATCAAAGCAGGTGCTGCAGGAGGACTGCTCTTCTGTGTCTTCTGGCTCTACCCTTTATCTTATCGTTTACTCCCTACCCCATCCACCTCCCTATTTTCTGCAACATAAACTGACGTTTTCCCAGCTACCATCAGTTCCGAGGAAGAGTCACCGGACCCGAAACGTTAACTCTGATTTTTTTTTCTTCACAGATCCTGCCAGACCGGCCAAGCTTTTCCAGCAACTTCTGTTTTTGTTCCTGGAGGAGGTCAGGTTTTGCACACCATAGTATAAGAACTAGGAGCAGGAGTAGGCTGTCCAGCCCTTCGAGCCTGCTCCTCCATTCAATAAGATCACGGCTGATCTTTTCGTGGACTCAGATCCACTTACCCGCATTCTCATCGTATCCCTTAATTCCTTTATTGTTCAAAAAAAAATCTACCTTATCTTTAAAAACGTTTACTGAAGTAGCGTCAACTACTTCACTGGGCAAGGAACTCCATAGATTAACAACCCTCTGGGTGAAGAAGTTCCTTCTCAATTCAGTCCTAAATCTGCTCCCTCTAATCTTGAGGCTATGCCCTCTTGTCCTAGCTTCACCTGCCAGTGGAAACATCCTCTCTACTTCTATCTTATCTATTCCCTTCATAATTTTATATGTTTCGATTACATCCTCTCTCAATCTTCTGAATTCCAATGAATATAATCCCAATCTACTCAGTCTCTCCTCATAAGCCAACCCCCTCAACTCCGGATAACTTATGATGCATTAAAAACTGCATTTTTTTTTTCTTTATTCATTCACGGGATGAGGGCATCACTGGCTAGGCTGCATTTATTGCCCATCCCTAATTGCCCAGAGGGCAGTCAAGAGTCAACCACATAGCTATGGGTCTGGAGTCACACGAAGGCCAGACCAGGCATTTATGAACCAGATGGGTTTTTCCTGACAATCGACAATGGATTCACGGTTATCATTAGATTCTTAATTCCAGATATTTATTGAATTCAAATTCCACCATGTGCCATGGCAGGATTTGACCCAGGTCTCCAGAACGTTATCTGGATCTCTGGAATAACAGTCCAGCGATAATATTACTAGGCCATCGCCTCCCCCCACTTCTAATATTATCTAGCAGTTTCAGAACATCCCAAGTTGTTTCACAGCCAATTAATTAGACTTGAAGAGCTGTTACGCAAGTAAACAAGGCAAGATGTTTGCACACAGCTTGATCCCATAACAGCAACAAGATATTATGATCAATTACGGTAATAACGGATTACTCCGTTTGATAGCACAGACTGAACCTGAAGTCAACAATCTATCATTGTGAAAACTTTTAAGTAATAAAATTTGTTAAAAATCAAATCAACATGCAAGCATTTTTAACCACATATATTCATTTAAAACAGTGACATGAGTTATTTGAGGATTGCTTTGCCAAAAATTTGTACATACCTTTTTAAACCGAACTTTCAGGTTGTTCTGGCTTTGCTGTGCATCATAGGAAAAAGCCTCATAGATCAAAAGCTCCTGTTCCACGTGAACCTGCAGCAAATACCAAAGAAAGTTAATAATCTGTTCATGGAGGCAACGGACTAAGGGATCCAGGTCTGACGCCTCTTGAAACTTACAATAAAAGTGTGCTGCATTATTGTTACTTTGTTATTTAGAGGAACATATCCCATTTATTTTGAAACTTTTCTTTCTCTTTTGCCTACTCTGATAGCTGACAGCTAATAAAGAAATTCAGGACCAAGGAAAAGGAAAGAGGAGAGAATTGGCTACGATGATGATTAAATGACAGGAGGAATGGAAGTTTAGCAAACACATGATCAAACACAGAAAAAGAAACAAATGGCAAAGAAAGGAAAACAGAAAACAAAAATCAGATTCGTGGGATGAGAAGAGCTTCTTCCAAAGAGTCAATCCAGGAAAGGTGGGCATTCAGTTGTTTCAATGGTGGGAGTCTGGGAGGAGGCGCGAGGTCACCCTGGGAAGGTAAGCTTTTCGATTATAAAAGTCTTACCTCGCATGACTCCATTTTTGCAGCAGCAGTGAGAGCTAGGACCAGGGGGCTGCCAGGAAGGTAAGTTAATCCTTTAAAAACTTAACTCGTGAATAGGCGGAGCACACGCTGAGCAGGAGCGGACACGGGGCGGCTGAGTAAGTGAGGTAATATATTTGGGTGGTTGCTTTACCCGAAACACTACCTAGGTAGTGTCTCCCACCCATCCTCCTCCTCTAACCAAAAAAAATGTTCTGAGCGCCGATTTGGTAAGGTTACTAGTTTTTTTTTCCAATAGTCCGTTTGGGAATTCAGAACAGTGGGAATGGATGTTAGGGCAGTTGCATGCTCCTCCTATAGAATGTGGGAGGTAAGGGTCACCACTAGTGTCCCCACTGACTTCATCTGCGGGAAGTGCACCCAACTCCAGCTCCTCGGAAACCGCGTTAGGGAACTGGAGCTGGAGCTGGATGAACTTCGGATCATTCGGGAGGCTGAGGGGGTAATTGAGAGGAGTTACGGGGAGGTAGTCACACCTCAGGTACAGGAAAAAGGTAGATGGGTTACAGTCAGGGGACGGAAAGGGAACAGGCAGACAGTGCAGGGATCCCTTGTGGCCATGCCCCTCAATAACAAGTATACTGTTTTGGATACTGTTGGGGGGGCGGACTTACCAGGGATAAGCCATGGGGTACAGGTCTCTGGCACAGAGTCTGTCCCTGTTGCTCAGAAGGGAAGCGGGGAGAGGAGGAAAGCATTAGTCATTGGGGACTCCATAGTTAGGGGGACAGATAGGAGATTCTGTGGGAACGAGAGAGACTCGCGGTTGGTGTGTTGCCTCCCAGGTGCCAGGGTCTGTGATGTCTCGGATCGTGTTTTCGGGATCCTTAAGGGGGAGGGGGAGCAGCCCCAAGTCGTGGTCCACACAGACACCAACGACATAGGTAGGAAAAGGGATGGGGATGTAAGGCAGAAATTCAAGGAGCTAGGGTGGAAGCTTAGAGCTAGAACAAACAGAGTTGTTATCTCTGGTTTGTTACCCGTGCCACGTGCTAGCGAGGTGAGGAATAGGGAGAGAGAGCAGCTGAACACGTGGCTACAGGGATGGTGCAGGAGAGAGGGATTCAGATACCTGGATAATTGGGGCTCATTCTCGGGTAGGTGGGACCTCTACAAACGGGATGGTCTACACCTGAACCAGAGGGGTACCAATATCCTGGGGGGGAAATTTGCTAATGCTCTTCGGGAGGGTTTAAACTAATTCAGCAGGGGGATGGGGACCTGAATTGTAGCTCCAGTGTACAGGAGGTTGAGAGTAGTGAGGTCATGAATAAGGTTTCAAGGTCACAGGAGTGTACCGGCAGGCAGGAAGGTGGTTTGAAGTGTGTCGACTTCAATGCCAGGAGCATCCGGAATAAGGTGGGTGAACTTGCAGCATGGGTTGGTACCTGGGACTTCAATGTTGTGGCCATTTCGGAGACATGGATAGAGCAGGGACAGGAATGGTTGTTGCAGGTTCCGGGGTTTAGATGTTTCAGTAAGATCAGGGAAGGTGGCAAAAGAGGTGGAGGTGTGGCATTGTTAGTCAAGGACAGTATTACGGTGGCAGAAAGGACGTTTGATGAGGACTCGTCTACTGAGGTAGTATGGGCTGAGGTTAGAAACAGGAAAGGAGAGGTCACCCTGTTGGGAGTTTTCTATAGGCCTCCGAAAAGTTCCAGAGATGTAGAGGAAAGGATTGCAAAGATGATTCTGTATAGGAGCGAAAGTAACAGGGTAGTTGTTATGGGGGACTTTAACTTTCCAAATATTGACTGGAAACGCTATAGTTCCAGTACTTCAGATGGGTCAGTTTTTGTCCAATGTGTGCAGGAGGGTTTCCTGACACAGTATGTAGATAGGCCAACATGAGGCAAAGCCACATTAGATTTGGTACTGGGTAATGAACCAGGCCAGGTGTTAGATTTGGAGGTAGGTGAGCACTTTGGTGATAGTGACCACAATTCGGTTACGTTTACTTTAGCGATGGAAAGGGATCGGTATATAAAGCAGGGCAAGAGTTATAGCTGGGGGAAAGGCAATTAGGCAAGATTTAGGATGCATAGGATAGAGAAGGAAACTGCAGGGGCTGGGCACAATTGAAATGTGGAGCTTGTTCAAGGAACAGCTACTGCGTGTCCTTGATAAGTGTGTACCTGTCAGGCAGGGAGGAAGTGGTCAAGCGAGGGAACCGTGGTTTACTAAAGAAGTCGAGTCTCTTGTCAAGAGGAAGAAGGAGGCTTATGTAGAGATGAGGTGTGAAGGCTCAGTTAGGGCGCTCGAGTGTTACAAGTTAGCCAGGAAGGACCTAAAGAGAGAGCTAAGAAGAGCCAGGAGGGGACATGAGAAGTCTTTAGCACGTAGGATCAAGGAAAACCCTTAAGCTTTCTGTAGGTATGTCAGGAATAAAAGAATGACTACAGTAAGATTAGGGCCAGTCAAGGACAGTAGTGGGAAGCTGTGCGTGGAGTCCAAAGAGATAGGAGAGGCGCTAAATGAATATTTTTCGTCAGTATTCACACAGGAAAAAGACAATGTTGTCGAGGAGAATGCTGAGATACGGTCTATTAGACTAGACGGGATTGAGGTTCATAAGGAGGAGGTGTTAGCAATTCTGGAAAGTGTGAAAATAGATAAGTTCCCTGGGCCGGATGGGATTTATCTTAGGATTCTCTGGGAAGCTAGGGAGGAGATTGCACAGTCTTTGATCTTTATGTCGTCATTGTCTACAGGAATAGTGCCAGAAGACTGGAGACTAGCAAATGTTGTCCCCTTGTTCAAGAAGGGGAGTAGAAACAACCCTGGTAATTATAGACCAGTGAGCCTTACTTCGGTTGTGGGTAAAGTGTTGGAAAGGATTATAAGAGATAGGATTTATAATCATCTAGAAAGGAATAATTTGATTAAGGATAGTCAACACGGTTTTGTGAAGGGTAGGTCGTGCCTCACAAACCTTAGAGTTCTTTGAGAAGGTGACCAAACAGGTGGATGAGGGTAAAGCGGTTGATGTGGTGTATATGGATTTCAGTAAAGCGTTTGATAAGGTTCCCCATGGTAGGCTATTGCAGAAAATACGGAGGCATGGGATTGAGGGTGATTTAGCGGTTTGGATCAGAAATTGGCAAGCTGTAAGAAGACAGAGGGTGGTGGTTGATGGGAAATGTTCATCCTGGAGTTCAGTTACTATTGGTGTACCGCAAGGATCTGTTTTGGGGCCACTGCTGTTTGCCATTTTTATAAATGACCTGGATGAGGGCGTAGAAGGATGGGTTAGTAAATTTGCGGATGACACTAAAGTCAGTGGAGTTGTGGATAGTGCGGAAGGATGTTGCAGGTTACAGAGGGACATAGATAAGCTGCAGAGCTGGGCTGAGAGGTGGCCAATGGAGTTTAATGCGGAAAAGTGTGAGGTGATTCACTTTGGAAGGAGTAACAGGAATACAGAGTACTGGGCTAATGGTAAGATTCTTGGTAGTGTGGATGAGCAGA